TGCGCATCTCGTTCGTCGCATTCAAGCATCTAGGATCAATGGCGAGAAGTGCTTCCGGTGTTTTCGGGAATCCAGCATCGCGGTCTTCTGCGGCGGCTGAACCACCAGACTGTGCGGGGTGTTTAGGGTTGACGGCCAAGTCTTTCAGCGCTTTGTCGATATCATCCAGTCCTGTAGCCTCGGGAGAAGCAGTGCCAGCCCCCGATTTAGCCCCCGCCTTCTTCTTTTTCTTGTTCTTTTTATTTTTCTTTCCCGGGGCTGCGGGCTTAGGTGCAGGTGCAGGTGCAGGAACCTCCTCCTTAAGTTGAGTCACGGGCTCGGATTTCTCGATCTCGGCTTCGATCTCGGACTCCTGCTCATCTTCATCGTCGTCGTCAACCGAGTTCAACAAATCGAATGCATTGAGCTTCGGCTTCGACGGCCGGACCACTGGCTCTTCATCGCTCGAGTCATCATTCTCTTGGTCGAGTTGTGCCAGCTGCAGCTCTTGTTCGCGCTGCTTCTGCAGCTTGCGGAGCGCACGGGAGGACATTCAGAAGTCGACGATATATTCGAATCTGTAGAAGCAGTCGAGAGTGATCTGATATGATTGGGCGCAATGGGCCACACACGCAGACAGCGACGCGGAATAGTTATTGACAGGAAAGCCTAAGAGTCAAAGAACAAAAGAATATGATTGAATCGGGCAGTCCCGCGGGGAATGACGACACGGCCGAGACAGGCTTAGCGGGGTTCGGCCAGTTTTTTGTTTAAGCCCCTTTCGGTAGCCGCCGTATGTAAGGTCACAAACAATACATACACGGTATCACATGACGCAATGGCGGCGAGATCCCGTGGTTCAAAGTAGTTGCTTGCCTCCACCGCATCTCGTCTGTTTCTCACTTGCTTATCTTCTGCTTGCTTTTGTTGTTCTCCGAAACCAGAGACGGAGAGTAGCCAAGACACTCCCGGCTCACATACAACCCTCTATCCGCCGGCCCAATGCGTCGTGCGGCTTTTCAAGCCCTTCGTACTGCCCGTCGCGTGCCAGCATGGAAGGTCACTGGTAGGAAACCGTGCGCCGTGTCCTTCTCTAGCAGTCGGAGTCTCGGTCTACGTGCTTCCTCCACGGGCAAACACCCCTCTTATCTCCCCGCCCCCCTCCAGTCGTCGATGCATCTTCGGAACTTCTCAATCGCTGTCATTTCGACCGCCGTCGCCTCGGGCGCCTGGTACGCTTATCAGGGCACCGGCCAGACATCGGCGGGTCTGAACCCAACCTCGTCGCAACTCCGTTCGTATTCAACCGCTGGCGCACAAGCTGAAGCCCCTGCGGAGGCCACTCGACGTGCACTGCTGGTGGATAATGACCAGTTCTTTACCGCCCCTATATCTGGAGATCAGCCATTGTCCAAGCATACAGACGATTCCGATCGTCGAGTTCTCGAAATGTTGACCCCAGAGCAAGCCACACAGAAGCTCAGGAAGAATGAGGAGTCATATCTGGTGAACCGGGGCAAGGGAGTGGTCCGCTACGATATTGTGCAGGTGCCTAGTAATTCTCCAATTGAGGATGATCATGCCGAAAAGATTATCGAGGTGCCGTCGTCCGTTGCGGCAGCCAACCAAGGCGAATCCAAGAGTGACTGGATGTTCTGGGCGGTGTTTGATGGTCATTCGTGCGTTTACAGAATTCCATACGATCAAGTTTTTTCCCTCATACTAACCTATTGTCTCACAGAGGCTGGACAACATCTGCCAAGTTGCGCAATGTTCTCATCTCCTACGTCGCTCGTGAATTGAACACCACCTACAAAGCCGCGGCTGCTGACCCCTCTCTGTTGACGCCCTCGTCCGCTGCCATTGATGCCGCGATCAAGCAAGGGTTCACTCGCTTGGACGACGATATTGTGCACAGCAGCGTCGACAAGGTGCTCAAGTCCAACTCGCGCCGGGTTGCAGCCGAGATGCTTGCGCCTGCTCTTTCCGGATCTTGCGCCCTTCTTGCTTTCTATGACTCTCAATCTAAGGATTTGAAGGTCGCCTGCGCAGGTGACTCCAGAGCTGTTCTGGGTCGTCGTGCTGCGAACGGTAAATGGACCGCAACGCCTCTCTCTGAAGACCAGACTGGTGGAACTCCGTCTGAGATGAAGCGTCTACGGGAGGAGCATCCCGGAGAGCCTAACGTTGTGCGCAACGGACGGATTCTCGGACAGCTCGAGCCGAGTCGCTCTTTCGGAGATGCATTCTACAAGTGGAGCAGGGATACCCAGGACAAGATCAAGCGACAGTTCTTTGGTCGTACTCCCCATCCTCTGCTGAAGACTCCTCCCTACGTGACGGCCGAGCCAATCGTCACCACCACAAAGATGGAGCCCGGAAGCGGTGACTTCCTCGTCCTTGCAACCGACGGTCTCTGGGAGATGTTGAGCAACGAGGAAGTTGTCGGTCTTGTCGGCCAGTGGGTTGAGCAGCAGCAGCAGCTCGGCGCCAGTGGCAGCAACAAGGCCTGGCTGAAGAGCTGGTTTAGCTTTGGCAACAAGTCTGAGCTACCTGTTGAGGGGCCCAAGGCGACCGACGCTGAAGGCCAACGTCGTCCCATCCGCCAACAGCAATACGACATCGCTGGAGCAGCCAGCCGCTTCACCGTTGAGGATCAAAACGTTGCGACTCACCTTGTGCGCAATGCGATGGGAGGAAAGGACAAGGAGATGGTCTCCGCTTTGCTGACTCTCCCCAGTCCTTATTCCCGCAGATACCGGTATGCTTCTTCCCTACTTTATCGTTCATTGGGATCCCACTAACCTTATTAAGCGACGACGTAACTGTCGAGGTCATCTTCTTCGGCGAGGGCCCCGACAACCGCACCGTCACCATTAATGAAGAGGCCAGCGCATCCAAGGAGAGCGTCAAGGCCAAGCTGTAGTTGTAAACCCAAAACTTTTACCATAAGACATTACTACGATTGGCGTCAAAGAGGCAGAAAAGAGAGACGCAAGAAAACATGCTCGATTCCATTTCCATTTCTTATCCTTTGTCTTTGATGCCCGTTCGTGATACATGCATACACGGTTGACGGCATTTCCTGTCTTTTATGATTTTGTCTTACCCTGACTAAATGGACTGGCAATACAGCCGGCGTTACGCGCGCGGAGCCTGATGGGGAACTTATTCTTGCTTTAGTATGCATTAATTAGCATGAAATGAGATACACATGACATAGATTGTTACATTCGCGTAACTCCTGCTCTTGCAAGTGTGATTGACGCTATTCTTGGGGTATCGATAATTTAATAATAGTACAAAGCGGTATGTCCGCCACGCCATAATTGCGCTGAGATCTTCAAGCTCCCTCAGTGCTCGAGCACCCTGTCTCTGGTCCGTCAGGCCAGGCCATGGCAGAATGTGCTCAATTATGGACGAGTGTGTCCAGTAATTGGCTGCACCCGGGTAGTTTTGATCGAAGAAAGCGCGACGCATTTCCTTCACAAACAAGTGAGGCTTTCTCGAGCAAAACTACCTTAGGTGCATTCCAGTACTCGTGACTGAGCAGAGCCCCAACATCACCGGACATGACTTTCGCATCCTTTGGATCCGTGCCGGGTCGGCTATAGCCTGGTATCACATAATCCCATGTGTCTGCATGCCATATTCATAACCTGACTTCATGACTTCTTGGCCGGAGGCGCCAGGCTTTTTGGTGTTTTGTACATGACATAGTGCCTCTTCCATACAGGCAGGGGCTTGACCGGAAAAAGCACCCGATCCAGGAGTAAGGTCTGCAACGTAGCGACGTTCGTACTGGTGAGCCAGTAGATCATCAAAGCGGTAGGCATCTCCGACACATATGATGACAATCCCACATTCAACGCCAGCACCTGAACAAACATCCGAATTCCCCGCAAGGAAAGCTGCTTGTACATCTCTACCTTGGGCAGATCGGCCAGGTTCTTCAGAGGCTGGGCCTTCCAACCCATTCTAATATTCAACAGAATAGATAGTGTTAGTGCCAAGGGCAGGATACCGGTAGGATCCCCGGCCAAAAGATCAGGGAACCAAAGAGCACCCTCATTAGCGAGCGAGGGCTCGACCGCCAGATGCAGGGCAGACGAGGGATCCGCGGACTCGGGCTCAAGGCGCGATAGTAGCCAGGGCACTAGACCACGGTCATTGCCGGACATGGCGCGGAGACTCTCCATGATGGAGATCCAGATGGGTAGTTGGAGGAAGTTCAGTGGCTTCCAGAACCGGGGAACGCCCAGGCGACGGTGTACGATTCGTTTCCGTTCCAGGAATTGCTTCATGAGTTGTTGCTTTTGGGCCCTTGTAGGGTCCATTTTAGCGAGCAATAGGCGATCCTCGCGGGTGTAGTCCTCTGATTTCTGCAAATTCTCTTTGAAGCATCGGTTCCACGCATGGAGAAGTGGTATCGCATCCCGTTCCCGTTTCGCTTGCATCTTGCTGTAGAGTTGTAGCGGCAGAGCAACGGTTGTGCGGACGATCAGAGCACTCAATGGGATGGAGACGGCCCATGGTAGACCGGAAATAGCGTGGACATTATGGAGAAAGGCGGAGGAGAGTTCGAGGGCTTCGTTGATGAAGGGTGCTGGACGGGTTGGGTGGAAATGCCGGACCTGCTGGAAAGCCGCCGTCTTGCGTGCGGGATGCGACAATCGGAAGGGCCGCATGTTGAGTGATTGGCGGGTTGGCTGGACGTATGAGTTTGTAAACACAATATGTACAAGAATTGAATAATGGAAGTATGGGGTTAAGAGACAATGCCTCACCAATGCCGCGCCGAGTTTGACCGAATCAGACCAGAATGAATTGAAGGGCCGCCGAGGGTGGAAAACATGTCATCACGTGGAAGTTAAATATCACGTGGTGATAGGAACAAGACAATGATTGACCTTCCTGTCAGTATATCATGTATGTAATGTAATGTACCATACAATACGGGCTATCGATAAGGATCTCGAGATCGACCCGCTTCTTCGCTTCGTCTTCAACCTCCACGCTGGCCAGTTTCATTCTTCTTCTCTTCCACTCCTCATCCACCTGCCATGTCCGCAGCTGTCTTTCGTTAGCCATGATGCTGCTCATCCTCAAATCGGTCCTCACCGTGCTCGCCCTCCTGGCGACCTGTGTGCTACTACCCCAGCTGCCCCTGAGTCTTCTCCGCCTAGTTCTCCGCGGTGTCGGTTGGCTGGTCCAGAAGCGTACCCGCTCTCGCCGCGAGTACATCATCTCGCGCGTCCGCGCTGACGAAGAAGAACACGCTACTCGTACAAAGGCTGCCTCTGCTACCAACTCCGGTGATGAGGAGGACTGGGAGAAGGTCGATACCTCTAGCTCCAGCTCCGGAACCGCTGGCATCAACCGCAATGAAGAATGGGATGGCATCATCGGCTTCTTCCATCCGTTCTGGTAATGCCCTCGGCAACCCCCCTCGTGTCAACTCCTACTAATCACTTCCCTACAGTAACGCAGGCGGTGGTGGTGAACGCGTTCTCTGGGAGGCCGTGAGAGCAACCCAGAAACGCTGGCCCAAGGCCATCTGTGCCATCTATACCGGCGACCATGAGGTCAACAAAGCAGCCATGCTGGAACGGGTCCAGGTACTACTCCATTTAGCAGCCCCATGTCTTTCATGCACATACTGACGATTTCAGCACCGCTTCAATATCACCCTCCACTCCCCGACCGTTGTCCTCCTCTATCTCACTACCCGCAAATATGTTGTTAGCAGCATGTACCCCTACATGACTCTTCTCGGCCAATCCCTGGGCTCTCTCATCGTTGCCTGGGATGCATTCAACCTCCTTGTTCCGGATATCTTCGTTGACACCATGGGCTATGCATTTACCCTCGCTTTCAGCAAGCTTCTCTTCCCCTCCGTTCCAACCGCCGCCTACGTGCACTACCCGACCATCTCCACCGACATGCTCCAATCCCTCGACGACCAGACCGGCCTGCAAGGCGTCAACTCCGGCGCCGGAAAGGGTCTCAAGGGCCAGATCAAGCGGAAGTACTGGATCGCATTTGCCAAACTCTACGGCTGGGTAGGTGGCCACGTCGATGTCGTCATGTGCAACTCCTCTTGGACATCAGCGCACATCCGCACCATCTGGGGTCCCTCCCGCCAAACCAACCCCCACAAAGATCCCACCGTAATCTTCCCACCCACTGCTGTCTCCGAACTCGAGTCCACCATCACCGTGTCCCCAGAGACCGAACGCACTCGCCAGCCCCTCATCCTGTACATCGCCCAATTCCGCCCGGAGAAGAACCACCCCTTACTCCTCCGCTCCTTCGCCCGCTTCCTCCAAGAGCGCCGCGACCAGAACGCCGACCCCGAAACCGAGCCCAAGCTCGTCCTCATCGGTTCTGTCCGTCACGCCAGCCCCGACGAAACCCACATCTACAACCTCCGGCTACTAGCCCATGAACTCCGCATCCGCGACCAAACCACCTTCATCTGCGACGCCAGCTGGCCCACCATCCTCGAGCACCTCGCCACGGCCTCCATCGGCGTCAACGCCATGTGGAACGAGCATTTCGGCATCTGCGTCGTCGAGTACCAAGCCGCCGGTCTGATCAGCGTGGTCCACGACTCCGGCGGTCCCCGCGAAGACATCGTCATTGATCTCGGCGATGGCGCCACGGGTTTCCGCGCCTCCACGGAGGAGCAATTCGCTGCTTCGTTCGAGGCGGCGCTTGCGCTTCCGGTCGAAGAGAAGGTCGCAATGCGGCTACGCGCCAGGAAGTCTGCGTTGAGATTCACCGAGGAAGAGTTCCATGCTAAGTGGATTGAGGAGATTGGGAAATTGGTGCGGTGAGCGTTTTATGGTTGTAACGGAAATCTGATTATCCAATCCCATCCCACCTCTTATTAAAAGAGTTTAAAAAGAAAATCATATCTATTACCTGTTCCATTAAAGGACTTGAGCTAGCTGGTCAGCTGTTGGGCGTTTCCTGCGGCATGGGGGGTTTTATGAATGCATTATCATCCATCATCCATCATATCATCGTATGTGTATATCACTCGTATCAAAGGGAGGGGGGGGTTACAAAATGCCCCTCCGCTCTAGTCCTTCCCCTCATCACTTAAGAAGTGTAGCACATAACATCCTTACTTAAATAAGTACCTGTCTATTCTAGTAGTAGTAGTCGACTATATCCCACCATCCCCCTTCACTGCAACCTAAATCCTTATATCAAGATAACTAACCTAACTGCTTACTGCTTACTACATCTGCCTTCATCCGGATGCTGCCGTAATCAGAAAAAAAAATGTTAGGGCAGAGACACAGCTGTTCTAATACTTACATTTATTATCTAGTACTGCTAACGTAACTAACAATCAGTCTTATTGATACACTTACCCTTATGCGAGGATCGCCTTGTAATCTATGTATGCATGGAGCGCTCGTATAGGAAGTAGGTTTTGTCTTCGGCTGGGGCTGCCTGCAATCAAGCTTTGCTTTCTATTTTAGGGTACTTGGTATAACTCGAATCGTAGATAGATAGAAAAGGTAGATGGATATGTGGACTGTTTGAAGAGAACTGTATACAATACTACTATATAGTCTTGGGGGTGTGGGTATCACAGTGGACTTACTAAAATGTATTCTGTTTGTTAACTAGTGTGTCAGTGCCGCACATCAGTCAATTACATGAGCTTAAACAAGTCACCTCTCACTTATAAGTAGGACACAATTAATGTGATGAAAATGACCTAATAATCCGTATTCAAGAGTATATCCCTTTTCCCTGGGTAATAGCGAAATAGAAAATAAATAAATAAAAACCTAAACCTCGCACACGAAAACACAACCGGGAGCATCTTCCATGGGTATGAAGTTCAAGGATTCTTCGTATTCACGTAACAAGATAGAATGATAATGTGTGGTCGGGTTAGACCAGCCGAGAATGAAAGAAAAGTAGTAAAAGAAATAGGAAAAAAAGAAACTGGTAGGTCTGAATGAAAGTGAAACCCGCCGTCATGAGGCAATCAATCAATCAATCACCAATCCAATCCGTCTCCCTGTATCTCAACGCCAAAACCCTGTTCTATTGAGAAATCGAAATCATGAGGAAGCCTGCTGCACCCGTTGCCTCGGATTTCGGGTAGAATGAAAAGAAATATCGCCTGTTAAATGATAAAAGATGGGGAAAGGAAAGAAGAAAAAAAAAAATTGGGTGGAAGGGGATAGCACCCGAGCTAAGAATGAAGGAAAATATGGGAGGGCAAGCGAGCATCACCGAGACACGCATTGTCATGCCCTCCAATCGTTTTCTCGATAGCCAGATTCTGCAGGGTTCACTCCTAACATCTGGCCCGTATTGTTAACATCGTACATGTTACTCGGGCCCCCGTAGCTCCCGCTGATGCCAGAGACACTACTGAGGCCGGATTCGTCGTCATCAAATCCGAACTCTCCGCCGGAACTGGCGTCGAAACTACTGCGACCTCCTATGTCACTGGGATCGTCTGCGGTGGCAGGGATTTGATCCCACTGCAAAGTCTGCAGCGCGGGGTATTGGGCCAACAACGCGGCAGGGAGAACGAAATTGCTGGTATGTTGGCCATCCATTCCTGGCACCATCAATGGAGGTGGTATAGGCTGCAGGTGCTGTTGCTGATCCATCATCGTGCGCTCCCGCTCTTGAGACTCTTCATCTAACAATGGCTTGATACAGATCCGACCGGCTTCGGAACGGAAATGACGACCCAGAGCATCCGCACGAGCAAATCGCCGGCCACATCCCCACTGTCCACCACGCGAGAGGTCACCGCGACAGACGAACTTCTTTTCGCCCGAGTGCAGCCCCTCATGACGCTTTCGATCATGCTGTCGCGCAAAAGCTTTTCCGCAGACAGTGCATACGAAAGGCCGCTCGTCCGTGTGAGTACGCAAATGAGATCGTAGGTTGTAGGCTCGCGTGAAGCGCTTGGGGCACAGGTGACACTGGAACGTGGCCGGGTGTTTCTGGACACGTTTGGAGTCGTTAGGGTTGCCCCCAGGCCTCTGGGGATCCGCAAGACCGAGAATGTAATTTCTACTGTCGATCGACGACGTGGACAGTCGCCGACCCGATCGCGAGGGAGACGGCTCTCGGGAGCTGGGATTACTATGTGGCTGTCCCCTCATGGTATCAAAAGGCGACAGCGACCGGGGTGACGGAGGCACAAACGGCTCCAGGCTGGTCGAGGTAGAAGATGACCGTGCGCGAGAAGCCGGGTGGGCATATGGGTCCGACTTACTACGCATGCGGGAGCCTATAAGCTCGCAGTTAGCATTGTGCGATGGAATGCAAGGATCGTCAAGCCGAGCAGTGACAACTTACGCATGGCAACGGGTGGACTCAAAGAGTCCAAGTCCGCACTGGGCTTCGTCTGCGGGAGGTTGAGATTTTTCGCCGGCGGTGCGAATTCCACGTTGATAGATGGGGGCGCCATTTGCGATGCTTGACCTATGTCTCCCATACCACCGTTTCCTTGGACCATCATACCCTCCCCGTACATGTCGGTCGGTGGGGTGGGGTACTGCGTGTTGCCCGCAGGAGCAGAAATGTATGGCACGTTGGGAATCATGTCTGTGGGCTGTTGAGGCATCAACTGCGGAGAGATATATGGACTGTGGGCGGGGCTGATGCCCTGTGAATGGTGCTGTTGCTGACCATCAGACAAAGTGAAAGATTCAATGCCCAGTGCATTGTCGTAGAGACCGGGGTCATGCTGGGGCGCTAGGAGTGGGGAGGGATTGTTCTCCACGCCATCAAAAGATTCATGCTGGGACATGTATGGAGATGGGGCAGCGGATGACACCTCAGACACTTCAGATGGGGCCCGTCGATGGCCCTGGAAGGCGGAGTTGGCCATGACTGCCTGCCAATCCGTATGCGCATTGCCCGACATGTATGCAGCGCTGGCAGGATCCAAGGAAGTATGGCGGGAATGTTGCGGGGTGTAGTAAGTCCCCGGCGTCGAGTTGGGCGGCGACATGGGCCCGGGAGATGAGTGCTGGTAATGGTCCTGAGGGGAGATCGGGGACAATTGCGGAGAAGCCGAAGGATGAGGAGAGGGTATCTGGCTAACGAGGTCGGCGGGGTTTACCGCTTGACTGCCCGGTCGGGACTGACCGTGAACTTGGGGGTCTAGCAGGAGCGGGGAGTCGTAGTCCGGAGCGGCCGTGCTGTTCGGACTAGGGTTCTGATAGAGGGCAAAGTCGAAATCTGCGGGGTTCGAGTTCAACAAATTAGAGAAATTCTCGTCTGTCGCTTGTTGTTGCTGTTGTTGTTGTTGCTGTTGCTGCAAGGACAGGCCCGTTGACTGGTCCAGCTGGGGCATCAACCCAGCATCGAAGGATTGTGGCAGTTGAAGGCTGTGGGAGTATGTGTGATCGGTCGGGGCCAGCGTCTGCGCGGCGGAGGGTGCGGAGAGATAACCGGTGGGGTTATAGCCGTAGGAATCAGAGGCGCCTGGATTGGAAGGGTTGTAGGAAGTCGAGGTATAAGGAGCTGTAGTGGTTGCGACGGAGACATCCAAGGTCAAACCGGCGGAGGGATCATTATATGGACTGATACTGCGGCTCCTCATCCCAGCGGGCGACTGCCCCGAGTCGGGCAGGTTGTCCTGGGATGCCATGACGAGAGGATGAACCAAAAATAGATCCCACGCGATGCAAGGCTTAGTCGAGTTGGAAGGTAAGGTCCGGTCCAATCTCACAGCTAACGGAGAAGCTGAAGAAACGCGGGGAAGGGCGAGTCAGAAATGCCGCAGAAGGAGGGAAGTGGGCGTGGAGGAGGGCCAGGAGGGGGAGGTAGTAGGAAGGAATCGGGCACGAGTTAGTGGATGACGTCCAGCACGGCACAGCAATGGTAAATTCGCATGCAGAAAGGCGGACACGAGCGATCAGAAGAAGGGGGGGAGAGAGAGAGAGAGAGAGGCAAATGAGGGAAAGGGGGGGGGGAAGGTGGATTGTGGTGGGAGAGGGAGAGGGAGAGTTGAGGTGAGAGTGTGAGAGAGAGTAAGGCAGACGGCCTTGCGATTCAGCCTCGCGGCGCGCAGTCGGTCTGGAGGGGGAAAGTCGTTGCACACATTCTCGGGCGCCAACAAGCGCCGGGGAAGATGCCGGCAGAGGACGATCCTCAGCCGCTAACACGAGGGCAGATGGATGCAGATTCAATCAGACACAACACACACACACTGCGAGAGAGACAGACAAGGGTGAAACAGGAAAGAAGATCGAAACTCGGAAAGGATGATGATGAAACTGAGCTGACGGTCCAAGAAGGAAGTTCAAGGCAGAAACTCGTCCAGATTCCCGATGCCTGATTCCCGGGGCACGTGCAAAAGCAAGTATATCTCAGGCAAGACAGTCTGCCTCTGAAAAAGAAAATACAATTATTAAACTACCTGTCAATTTAATGGATTTTAGTTTAGTTTCTAACGATGCTGGGGGGGTCTATTATATATTACTTCAGTACAATATGGACCTGTGAATCCCCTCTTCCAGTAAGTTTTATTGGTTTTAGTAGAGTCGCCTAATCTACTATTGTATACTACAGTAAAGTATACTACAGTAAAACCTGCCTGCCTAGCTCTCCAATATAGAAACCTCCCTTGCTATTTTATCCTTGTCTCCTCCAAATTTGTCTCTGACTGGAGGAATCTCCGCCTGGTGCACTGGGCTACATCTACCATACTAAGGGATCAATCACCTCAATAGATATTCATCAATCACCATCCCCAGAGAACATTGCATTTTAGCACCAGGTTACTTGACCATGTAAATGCTTCAACTCACATACCCCATGCTTTTCTATCTCAAAAACATATTCACCTGCTCCACCGGTCCTCCTTCCGTGCTCCTTGTCATTGGCAACTTTGGAGCCATGATCCAACGTTCTTCATCTCCTACCCGAGGACGGCACCTTACAACGCAGACGTACCCTGTTTATGTTGTTTACATTCTACGCCCGGGGTCAGGGAGGAGCATGACTGAGTTGATGAGCTTTCCTTGATGGAATTTGATTAGCTCTTGAGCGTGCTCAGGATATGAGTAGGAATAGTTGTGGTGTTTTAAGTAAATGTTATATCCAATGCAGTAATACATTTATACAATACTCTAGAAGGTAATGGGGATACCCCCTTATGAATGCTGCCTAGCAAGAAGGGTCTCCCCCATCTATCCCCCACTTGACCAGAAAAGTGGGAAGAATAGCATCATCGAGCGGGATTAATCTCTTAGTAAATTTCAATCAATGAATGTGGAAGGCAAAAGAGTGTATGTTGACCTGACAAGGCAGACTGCAGGACCCACACTGAGATGAGAACGAAGGGTGAAACCACAAACAAAACCGTTGACGTAGCCTACAGCCAAGTTAACCTGTACGATTCTGATCGGAAAGGGAAAAAAAGGGGTCCAAAGCAAGAACAGCTGAAGAGATGATTGATTGATTGATTGATTCATCACAGCCTGTCACGATAGTTCGTTCATTGCTGATGAGGGCCCGGCTGATCTAATCGGGTAGGAGATATGAAATAGTTAACTAAAAATAGCCCTGTCTATCTCACTCTCATCAAGGTTGATCAACAAGAATCGAAAGTCAAACAGACAGAGGAGATAAAAATAAGAAGGACAAGGGTGTATGATTGGGATCATGACCTGACAGGCGGCAGCGACAATGAATTCCCTCTTCATCGCCCTAATTAGACACTCCATCAATACTACTCCGTATCCGAGAGTTCTTCTAATCTCCCCAGCGTCATGCAGGTCGGAAAAACATCATCCTGTCAAGGATCATTTACTTCAAATAGTAGTCCTCCGTAGTATACAGTAAGGGTGATATGCCAAAATATCCCGCACTGATCCCCTCGTATTACGATAATCATTGATTATTTCCGATAGATCCATCCTCTAAGTTACCTTCCTCTCCCTTCTTCAGCAAGAACCTGTCAGCCTTAACCCCCCCCCCCTCCCCTATCTCGGTTGCACACACAACACACACATTCTCCATCTCTCCTGTCGACAAGCTGTCAGGGTTTAAATTCCCTGGCCCTGATTTAGATAGATCCATTGGCAAGGCCAACCATACTACTTGCAGCTTGAAACACCGCTGATCCCAACTGGATCGCTGGTTTTGCACAGCCACCCTGTCTGCTGCCCCTCAACCTGCAGGTCCACGGTTCAACCGCAGGCTTCATCATTTCGGTGTGTGGGTGTTTGTGCGCGCGCGGCCCGGTAGTGTCGCTTTCTTGATGGGATCTACATTAGACATTTCCCAAATGGGTGTGCTTTCTGTCTGGTTTTGTTGATTTGTCTTGTTCTGAAACTTGTCTGTATTGTGCAGTGTACAGGTGATGCAGGTAGCAGAACTGAGTAACTGACTGATTGTTGATCAATTATTAACTAACATATACTACTAGTCACACACACACATACGCTGGAACATCACTACTTAATACAATACACAATAGCTGAGACACATCATCCTGGTGCTCTCAAAAGAGAAGCGAGGAAATTCACAGGTCCTCGAACACAGTGACACTCTCCAACACCTCATCCGTGTTAACATCCACCATCAGGTTATCCGCGCAGCTGGATCCCAGGGCGGCATTGTCGACCCACGCCGGTTCCCAGTAATAAATGCCCAGTCCATCCGTGACGCCCTCTACTACTTCTGCCAGCTTCTCCAGGAACTCCTCCTGGCCTGCAGCCGAAAACGGGATCGAGCTGAGATCAGACGGAAATGAATACTCAGGGTCCGGGCACGACACGGGCCAGTTCGTCTCCACCACCACGACGGACTTATCGTAGTTGGATTGCATGTTCGTAAGGCTGGTCTTGAGCGCCGACAGGGTTGCTTCCGAGTTGTAGAACGGATAGTACGAGACTCCCATGAGGTCGAAATCCGTGGAGAGCAGTGACCCCGTAGCCAGGACGGTCTTGTAAAAGTATTCCTGCTCCTCCCAGTCCCATCCATTGTCCAGGTGGATCATAATCTTCGGGGTCGTGGTCAGGTCGGAGTCCTTCACTCCCCAGGCTCCGGAGTGCAGAAGCTTCGCGATGTTGTCATAGTTGCTGGTCTTGCCCAGTGGCCAAAGAAGCCCGCTGCTGATCTCGTTGCCAATGGAGACAATCTCAACCTCAATGTCATTCTCCGCGAAGGTGTTGCAGACTTCGAGCGTGTAGTTGTATAGTTGCCAGGTGAGTGTGTCGATGTCCGTCGTCGACCAACCGGTAGGGGTAGTCTATGTACATCTCTTATGTTAGTGTTCCAACTCTTTTCCTGTGCAGTCATTTCTTTCAGCAGTAGAACCGACCTGATCACTGGGGTCTGCCCACGTATCACTGAGATGCAGATCCAAGTAAATGCTCATACCCGCGGCCTGAACACGCTTGGCCAGCTTCAGGTTATAGTCGAGATCGTACGAGCCATCGCTGGGATCCACCCACACCCTCTGACGGATCGAGTTGACACCATTGTTGACCAGAATATCCTCCAATGCCTGGGTCTCGCCATTCAAGTTCTTATAGCTGATGCCAGCATCTTCCTCGATCAAAAGGGAGGAGATATCCGCCCCGCGGTAGGTCAGCGCGGCGCTGCTGAGCAGAGGCAATGCAGACAGAAGTAGAGGGTAGATCATCATGGCTGTCATCGAAGCTCGGCCTGTAATGAGCCCGGTTATCACTCTCACGGTTGGATCCAGCAGAACGAGTCAGTCAATCCTGGCATCAATGCCCCTTTTAAGAGACATCGTCGACTGGCCGCTTTGAGACATTCATTGTCCACCGGGTCCGTCTTACAAATGACACGGAGAAGGCAAAAGGATAACGTCTGCCCATATAGATTAAACACCACCGGAGTTCTCCACGATTTAATCAATGCAGGACGGCATCAGCGTCAGGTCATGCATCGCGAGACACCAAGTGTTTCCAATCTGCTGAGCCATTGGTGGAGGAACATGACACCGTCTGTGCAGATCGGCCGGTGGCACGCCCGAGCCCATTCAGCATCCGTACCGTGGGCTCCATGTCTCCATACTTAGGCGAGAAGTCGGATTCAACTTGCGGCAAACCCACATCTTCCGAGGTCAGATGGTCGCCCAGACTCCCTGCAAGCCACATGGGCACATACGACGACTTCTCGGTGTACTCCAAATCTAGTTTAGGAGACGCTCTCAGACCTCCTCCCTAAGCTTCTACGGACTCGTGGTTCTGCTTGGCCGGTTTCACCTTTCATCCGACTTCCCCCGGTATAGAAAGTATCGGCACACTAGGCTAAACGGTGACCCGCTTTTCCCATGTGCGGCAGAAAGGCACTGGCGCACCCAAGTGGATCGTGAACGTGTGAGTCTCTCTCTCTCTCTGTGTATATTGTTGTTCTCTTCATCATCTCTCGCGACTTGGTCATCAACATCGTGTCCTTCCATGGCAACCCTTCCGCAAAGCAAAATCCTACTCCCGCTGCCTCCAGCTATCCAAAGCCCAGAAAAAGAAAAAGGGGAAAGGCAGGTACATTGTATAGCCTGACCCTTCCTCCAAGCATCATTACATACACGCAATCACAGACCCCAGGCCCAATGCAGCAAACAGACCAGTATATATAGACGCAGAATAAACCCCAGCATCATCCGAATGCAAGCCAATGGATGAAGATAACCGAATCAAGAGGACCGAATATGAACGTGCCGCCAATGCAAATATATGTACAAGCAATGTATCTGTGTCTCAACAGATGTGGAACCCTAGGGAAGTTTCCTGTATGCCAGCAAAAGGGACGCAACCAGCCAGAAAGAAGAAAAGAAGGTGGGGGGGAAGAAGCGAAACGAATAGAAAAGGAAAATATCCCCCCACTGATTGAATAAATGATATACACGCAGAAATTAAAACTCCAACAAGATAATGATCATGGTGATTGGACAAAGCCGCGTGACCACCCAGAAAAAGTCAGACATAATATGATGGTAGTAGCGTCATGATCGGTAAAGGAGAAGCAAATGCAAACATCATGTAACGGTGAAAGAAACTTTTGATGTCCCTTGCTTATATGACGACCAAAGACCCCGGAAAGGACATGTTTGTATTGTTATCATGACTTCGACTGTCCAGGGCGGATGATCGGCTTCTGAGGGGTTGCCCTCTTCTTGCCAATGACAAGTCCTTCATCTTCTGAGTCGTCACCAGACTCTTCTTCGTCATCGCAGTAGTAGCGACACTCATCATCTTCTGCAGGTCGTGTAGGACAGGGATGCCGGGCTTTGACTGTTTCACCAGTGCGAAGAATCGAAGGAACCTGAACGGCTGATTCAGTATCCTTCTCCTTGAAGCCACTTTCACCAGAGAGAGACGACGCTCCTGACACCACAGACGGGATGCTGGGGTGAGAAGTGCTCTGGGACATGCCGCTAGTATACTCGTCAATTGACGAAGAGGATATTGTAGCTGCCGATGGCGGCGACGTTGTCAGCCCTCCTGAAAGAGGATCTCCAGAGGACTGGTCATTCGACGAGTCTGAGACTTGCGGGTGATTCTCAATCCGCAGGCCCGTGTAGTCACCGGAGCATGGCTCACTGTCGCCACGATTGCTGTCTGCATCACCAACGGGCCCGAGGTCGCTCCTCCTCTTCCGTAACAAGGCCTCCTTGGTTAGGTGGAATGGCTCGGCGGAATGCTTGCCTGGAAGCTGGTGGGATCGGTTTCGCCGATGGCTGGATGTTCTACCAAGGGAGCCATCGGGAGGAGTCAAGAGCGGCTCCTCGTTCGACAACAAGTTGCAATTCTGCATTTGACCAACAGCAGAGGCAACACTCAAAGCTAAGCTGGGTTCCGAGTGGCGGTCACCGTCCAAAGATGCGGTCTCGCCTGAGACAGACCGATCGGACCGCCAATCCCCAGGTTGCAGGCCTCTTGCAAGCCGACGGCTCGCGCCACCAAAAAGGCCACCAATGTTTGTGGTCCCAGACGGTTCCACACGGACGGGGGTACCAGCACGCTGGGGTACTGATACTCTTTTGTGGTCCGATGGTTTCACGGTCTTGGCAGATTCAGCAGTAGACAATGTGGATGTTGTGCGCTCGGGAGGATCTGGGCGCGTAGATTGATCTT